TGAAATCCAGAATGTCTATAGGACACTGGGTTGTTAATGTCCACTTGCATCTACAGGGACAGAAAGAGCATGTCACATCACTTGCACAGTGATATTATCACCATGGCATCATAATGCCAAGGACACAAATTATACAATTATACAATTTGTGTCATTTGCAGAATGAGCTCATTACAGACAGACTTTACATCATCGTGACGTGCCAGACTTGCCCTGAGTTTAAGCTTGTTTTAGAGCTTTGCGTATCATTTATAATCTTTCACCTAGTCACTGAAATATTTCTCTATTTATTTTATTAATTGAATCACATGCTTTGCATTGTGGTAAAAAATTTTTTGCAATAATTCTATTGTTTGTAATGCTAGGAATGACTCTGGAAAGACATATACAAGATTCTGTTGTTATACCTTGATAAAGTAGCATTCCTGGGATTCTTCTGGTCTCTGTTTCCTCACCTGGCCTACCTTGAAAGGCTGACATCAATTTTGAAAAGCTACCACAGTTTTGCTCTATTCTTTCTTATACTAAATGAAATCAAGGTGGGTTTATGATGAATTGCTTTCTCATGTATTCTATTTTCCAGGACTGAGTTCTCATTTTCCCCCCTCCCACAACCATTCCTTAACCATTAATCCATTCCTTCATCAGAGTTATTTTTATTCCACATCCCTTTTTACCCCATCTTAATTTTTCTCACCCTCCGTCCTTGTAGACACTTTGCAGGGCTTATATATGGCTTGGAATTAAACTTGTCTTTTCAACTTTGGCACACTCCAAATTCTACATTGAAATTGTCTGTGCTGACTGAAGAACTCTGGGAAATACAGTTTTAATGAGTAGGAGGATTCAGAAGTAAATTTGGTTTCCTTCAAATCCTAAAACATTTCAGAATAGTGCTATTGTGCACAGCTTTGCATTAGTACCATCGAATTAGAAAAAGTGTTAACCGCCAGCATATTTTACAGACATATAGTTTTATCATAAAAACAAGTTAATGGTGGAATCTGTTGCTTATGTATGGCCTTTTGATTCTAATACAATCAAAACTGAAGAAAATTGCATCTGCTGTATAATCTGATGGTGTTTGTTGAGGCAGAACCATTGGAAATTTAAATTGTTAGTTGTCTTAGAAATCAGTGAAATCAAATTTCTTATCTACCAAACACTTTGGATTCCTTTTCTTAAGTATAAGTCATGACTTATTTTAAATAGATGGGTCCTTCAAAGCCTGCAAGAGGTGATTGCCTTATCTTAGCACAAAAACATGCCAGGAGACACATTATTCAGAAGCTGTGCTGTTGATCATGCTGCTGTCATTCATCCCACAACCAGCTTCTAGAAGTGAACCTGAATTTCTTCCTTGAAAATTTAATCTGATGCAAGTTACAGCTGGGAAAAAATGTTTTCTTGTGGTACAGTATGGTTTAGATCAGATATGTCAAACTCGCAACGTCACATGACATCGCGAGACGTATCGGGACAGTTTTGCCATTGCCATCAATGGAGTGGGCGCAGCTTCAGGATGACGCATCTGGCCCACAGGCCGGCAGTTTGACACCCCTGGTTTAGATGATTTTGAAACCAATGACATTTATTACCAGAGTATATATTTGGCATGAAAGTATCAAAAGTATAGAATTTTATTATGCATTTTATTATTCTCATATTAATAATTACCTTAGTCTAAATCCAAAGGTTATCTTTTTTTTGATTGAGGAAGGAAATATGTTTTTATATTTATACAAGGATTTGTATAAGTTCATAAGGGCTTTGGTCAACTTGTGAAGCCCTAAAGGAGCTTGAACATTTGGTGATTTCCTAGTTGTGTGCATGTAGAGTTAATTTCCAATTAACTCAACAAAGCTTACTTTTGAATTGAAATGTATAGAATTGTTTGGTTAAAATGTATATGTGCAAGCCATAACTCTTTATTCCCCTGATTTAGGTACTTTGTTCTTTGTATTAATTAAAACAATGGAAAATCTGGCGTAAAAAAATAACAATCCTATTATAATATAAAGCTTTGGTGGCAATTTTATTAATCTGAAAGAGCATATTTGGTTGAACAATAAATTATATCCAATAAATATATGCTGCTGTTAAAGTTGTGAAATAGTACTCTAATGCCTTTTTTCTGCAACAGATTAATAGGATCTAATTTTTAAGGTTGCACTTGGAAAGAGGACAGTAAACAATACACTGAAAATGAGAAACAAGTATAACTCACTTACTTTCCCAGGTTGAAACGTAAGTCACATTTATTAAAATATGTTAAAGATAGACACTTTTTAAAGGGAAGTTCAACACTGATTTTTTGGTTATGGAGTTTAAATACCCAAGTATTTAAAGTTCAGAAAAGTCTTGTTGATCTAAAAAAATTGCAGATTCTAAAAAGCACATAGAGAGATGTCTTGATGCTTCTAATCTTTATGCATTCCACAAAATAAATACATCAGTTGATTTGGAATGATCTTATTCAGTTGGCAGTAAAGTACAAAATAAGAAGAAAAAATTCTCTAGTGCATTAAGGAAATTCATGATCAATCCCTCAGGCCTCTCATTGTTTAAAAAGCACTGCTAAATACCCTAGCATGCAGTACTATTACTGGCAAATTTGCAGCTCACCTTGCAGAACAGAAAATCCATTGATGTTCTTGGGTATCAACAGTGCCATATCCTTAAGACCATCAAAGCTGATAAATGAAGCTAACAACCATTTCCTAGATATATGCGGGCCAGGCAAGAGTTTCTTCTAGATCCTTTATTATTGTTACTTTGTTGTTTCAATTTTATAATGTTTATTCATATTTATATATTTTGTCTGCTACTCTTGTAATAGAAAAATGTGATTAAAAAGGTATGAAATACACAAATTTCAACTCTTTAATATTACATGTTTAATGAGGCAGAGGTGCCTGGTTACTTTTCTAAATGAGCCAATACATTAACTCAAGAGGTTTATGAATTATATAGTGATGTTTCAGTCATGAGGTAATGAGGTAAGGTTCTAAAGGCAAAAATGGCATTTACAGATTATGCCTGATAAATACAACTGGGGCTGGGACCATGCCAGTGATGACTTTCAAAATTGTTAGAATTGGTTTGTACAAAGGAATCAATAACCAGATGATGATGATAATCTTTTATAGCACAGGCCATCCTGAGAACGAGAATAAAGGACTTTTTTATCCACACACCAACAATTTGTATTTGATTTCATTAATTTGTTGATTTGATTAAATATCTGTGCACCTATATCATCAATACCAAAGATGGACCTTATAAATCTTTTGTTTTGTTTTTGTTACTAAGTTTTTAATTCAGTATTGCAAATTTAATCTTTAACATTGGGCTAACCCCTAAACCACAGAAACAAAGGAAGGAAATAGGGAGCAGAGTAGGAAGGTCACCTTACCTGTTGTTACATTTGCTACAGCATTCAACTTATTCATTTGTAGTACCTTTCACAATTAATTAATTATCACATTTGTATTGTCACCTATCTCACACAACACAACTATTTTCATGTGTTTCAATTTTAAAGGACTTAAAACTTGGAAATGGCCCAAGAGGACCTTCAAGGAATAAATATTACTCTGAAGTGATGGGAATAACTGTGAATTTAATTTAATATAAAGTCCTGCCAGCATGGTCAACTGAGATTAAAAAATATAAAATGCTTCAACATAAATTTAAAATTGATGATCTAATGCACATTTGCCCCACATAACCACTTAATATGGTAGGACTTTCTTTCATGTAAATATACATATTTGACTGTTCATCCTTACTCCACCATTTTATGCTCAGAGGTTATGCTCACCATTGCAAGAAATGGGAAAAGGACTTGAGAATATGCACATAGAGAGGAATAAACTCAGATAAGTCTTAAGCTTTTTGTACGTCAGAAGATATTACAATCATATCAAATGGGTGGGTTCAGGAATGACTTTAGCTCTATGTCCATGTAGTAACTGACATCTAAACTGCCTGTATTTTTCTATGTTGTACAATAGAAAATTGGAACTGAATTTATCCTGTGTGGTAGCTATACAGCATGAACCTATTTTTGCCTTGTGTGGATGATCGTAAAAGTTTTAAACATGGACAAATTGTATTGATTTTTCTTCTTTGTAATTAAAGTAAAGAATGCCTCTTGCTATACCATTTTTAATGTTTATGATTTCAAGCATGATAACTTTAGATAAGAGACTGTCACTATTTCACTTGAAATTATTCATCAGTTATGAATAATATGTCTCATTCATTAAAGAGGACAGTTTTCGAAAACTCTACATATTTCAAATGCTTTCCTTATGGATATTTTACAACACATATATCTACAGATTTATTTAACATTTCTGGGATCTCCTTGGCCAATGCAACACTGGCTAATGAAAACATTTATACAAAAAAAGTGCACAAAATGTGAATTTTGAACCCATGGAAATGAAATGTGCCTTAGTCAGAGGGCAATGATGGTCCTGGATCACCTTCTCTCTCTTGTCATTTAGTCCTTTTAAATTACTGTCAAGTCAAAAGAATGGCAATCCAACCGAACCTTATCAGGAACACATATTTGGGTCCATTGAGTCGTGCTGAAGAAAAAGGTGCAACAATAAACAACTCCCTGTGCATTTGCAGTTCATAGTTATGGGCAGAAAAGCCCTTAAAATTTGTTGCTTTGGTATTAAATAGCAATTATAAAAGCTTTTAGAAATAAAGCAATACATGATGAGGAAGGGGCTGGAAATCCTACAAGGCTTGGATTTCTTGTCCATTGAAATCCGTCTCATTCTTAGTCATAAATAAATAATCTCTTCCCTGGTTTCGCTTCCATGCCAGGATCAATATCTCTTAACATCTTACTTATTTTATTACTGCTCTTGGTTTTCTGGGACTGATTGAAAGTTGCTCAGAGGAAATCTTTGGTTTTGCTTAAGTGTCCGTGACATTTAATCATGACTTTCCTTGCAGTTTAATTCCAACCAGTCAATCAGTTAATCCACTTCAATTGATTCTGTGCTCTCTGTTATTGGCTTGCACTCATTGGGCATCCTCTGGTGTCGACTCAGCTGGGTGGCTTGGGTGAAGCTCCTCTCGCACCTCTCGCACCTGGGAAAGGCAAGAGAGAAAATTGAGAGTGGGAAGCTGCTCCTGGGGGGTCAGGGGGCTTCGTCTTATCATGCCTAATCAGAACAGACACTCAAAAGTGGCTTCAGATTTTACTGGCTCAAGAGGTTTAATTGGTGGCTACTTCCAAGGCCTTGATGCCTATGATGGGACAAGGCCTGTCTGATTCAGAACAAGGGAATCTGTCAATAGACAGGGGAAGGTGATTTCTCTAGAGAGGCCTGTCCTACTGTAGCTCTGATCACTGTCAGTTCAAATAGATAAAGAACAAAAAGAGATTTTTAGGAGTGAGCCATCAAAGAAGCAGCTTGTCTGCAGTTTTCTGCTCTGTAATCCCTCAGAGAAATTGATGACAAATAGAATTTCACCTCCTGCTAATTTAAAATCAGGAATCTTACCTATTGGAACAATCATGAAACTGGGAAACAATAATCACTTTCTGTATTTCTCTGAAATTACTGTTTAGCCAGTGTGATACAAAGGAGTCTTATCGTGATTAAAAAGAGACTTTTAAAAATATCATTATGGAATCAGTATATTGCTGAAATGATCAGTCAGAAAACTCCAAATTTCAACACTGGGTGTCCCATTGCCATTTCTCCTCATAGATTTAAATGATACGACAAGACAATGAATACATTTAAGATGCAGGCTTTCTGTGTGAACATCCAAGGGATGTGCATAATTCTAAACAGAAACAACTTCATCTCTTTCAGATAAGAATTAATTTTCCAAACTTTGGCCCTTCAATAACTTGACAATATTCAGCATAGAGTGTTGAGCAATCTATGAGATGTAAATATTGAGCAATCTATGAGATGTAAATATTCTTTTCAATAACTTCCATCTGAGCAAATATCCTGCTACCTAATGCCCTCTCGATAAACAAACTCTTACAATTTTACCCCAGGTTTATAGCAAAAAAAAAAAAACAACTAGCAAGAAATCTGTTCTAGATCACTTAGTCCAATTAGATGCTCTCCAGATATGTTAAACTACATGCTGGCTGTGGAATTAAGCATAAGATTCAAGCCAGTAAAGCTGTCACAGATAGACTGTATTGGAATGAATAAAGCCTGCATAAGAATTTCTTGAGCACATTAATTTAAATTGAGTTGACAAAGGAGATACTTGTGAATTACAAACTACAGTTTTAACATAATGTTGATAGAATCATATGTAATAATTAATTAACAGTGATTTAAGAAGCCTGCTCATAATCCAAGATATCCTTACGTAAAAAATATCCAAATGAAATAAAAGGAGACACTGTTTATGTGCATCTTTCTATTGTAAACATTATATATATAATGAATTAGTTCATTATGAATACATCAAGAACTGTTTATAAATATATATAATTTCAGGATGATATAAAGTGTGTGTCATTTTTTTAAAAAAGAAAATTATGGCTTGAGAAACCTATGGCCTGAAGGTTACAAATTCATTCATCTTATCTCTACTCCAGTCTAACATGTCAAGATCTTTAAGTTATGTTTCTTTGATTGTTTCTCTTAGAATATTTTAGCAGCCTGTTCTACTGTTAAAAACTGCACTGTGATCTTGACAAATGTAAAATGTCAGGTCTAATGTATCAGACTTATCAGCTCAATGAAAATAACTCAGAACTATTGATCACCTAATGATTTCTGGTGTATTCATTAATGTCTATGTGCAGATCTTCCTCTCTCCAGAGTTCCTGAAATGCTGATGACACATTAGTGTGTTGCTGATTGTTTATTAGAAAACTGATTAGTTACTGGATTAGTGTGTCAAAATGTACTACCTTTCATTACTTGATAAACTTGCAAATTATGAATTTGTTTTTCATTATGAACACCTTGAAATCAATTCATTTTTAGACTTAGTTTCTATAGTACATTGCAGTGATCTCTACTTAGATTTGATTTTTTTTTCTCTTTTCTATATCAACAAAGCTACAAATATGATATATATTTCATATGTATGTGTATAACTGTCTGTCTGCCTGTCTGTCATATATCTATCCTCCAAGTCAGTGCTGACTTTTAATTATTGCCTGGACAAATCTCTCCAGCTTTCTTAACAAGATGTTTTAAGTTTGCTATTGCCTTCTTCTAAGGCAGGCATGTTAAACTGCCGGCCCACGGGCTGGCTGCATAATGCCGAAACTGCGCCCACCCCATTGCCGGCAACGGGGACACGGTTGTGATATGCTGCGCGATGTCACGTGGCGTCGCGAGTTTGACATGCCTGTTCTAAGGGCAGAGAGAGATTTGTTTAAGGTTATCCAGCTAGTTTCATCAGGTTTCCATTCCTTAACCATTACATCATACTGGTTCTCACCTTCTCACTACTGAATTAATAACAAGCATATTATAAATCAAAGGCACAAGTGGAAACCGAAAACTTATGAAATGAGGACCAAGTTCTCCTGGATCATAAAGTAAAATTTGCTCCTATATTAGTAATACTATACTAAACCTACTTCAAGTATTTTCCATGTGGCATTCATAAAATATCCAAATTTAAAAAGCATGACCATAAGTCTAAGTACAAAATAAGTATTTACTGAAACAAGATAAAATAACACTTGGGAGATTTAGGATTATTCATGATGCATCAAATAAATAAATAAATCCTCCATACAGCTAATATTCATGGTGACCATTCTACACCTGTAACATAGCCAGCAATTGAATCATTTTTTCTCCTGTCCAAATGTATATTTTCATTTGTGTTTTATGATATAATATATAATGGTATGTATATTTATACTTAGACACATAAACACATAAACTGGAAATATATAACTTTTGAAAAGGTACAATAACACACTATTGAACTAAATTATTCCAATGTATTATTTCATACATTATAAATTCTTACATAGATATGCTATTCTGTAAATTATAATACAATATATCTGTTGAGTAAAGATGTTGGTCTTACACAAAACACTATTATCATTTCAATATCCATTAAAATTGGATTTCAAATTGCTTTTTCATTACATAAATATCTTAATATTAACTGAAATAAGGATATCAAATAATGGTAAATTCTTTATGTAAAAATCAGTTAAAGGAATAAAACATATAAAATTAACACGATTCTCATGTATCTAATAAAATAGGTTCCTAAGCATTTATTTCATGGATGGAACTGAACTGAAACCGCTGTGTGTAAGTTAATTCAGATAATTTAGGAAATAGAAAAGAGAAAGAAAATATAAAGGGAAAAAAATAGGACTGGCTCTTTGTGGTGCAAATTGTAGATTTATTGGAAACATGACAAAAACAGAATGTTATGGGGGTGGAAATTAAATGGAGTCAACAAGGTTACATATAAGTAACATCTTAACATTAAAAGAAATCTATTTTCCATTTTGACCTGGAAGCCTGTACAATTAATTACTAAAATCTATTTACACAGCAACTACATAAAATCAATCTGAACTGCTAGTTTTTGGCTTCTCTTTCCATTGGCTGTTTTAATCCTATGTAATGGTTCAGTAACCGCCATTTGTTGACACGGCACTTTTGTGTCATTCTAGACCGAAGCCAAACAGTGATTAAGTTGGATTTTGGAAAACAGCACTCTCCTCCTTCTCTTCATACTCTGGGCATTCAGCTCAGCTCTTTCCCAGAACTGAGAAAAAGTGACAAGCCCAAGGCCCACATTTGTGCCTAAGGCAAAACTAGAACTCATGGTCTCCTGGTTTCTAGCCTGATGCTTTAACTAGAACGCCAACTGGTTATCCCACACTTAGTAGCAGAATCAATTACAAGCTTATTGATAATTTTAAAAAAATACGTTCTTTCAAACTTATTTGATTTATCTGAACTACTTAAAATATAAACAATCAACAATCAACAACAAACCTTGTTTTCATATGCATCTCAAACCTAGGATGTCTGTCTCAAACACATCTTGCAAAGCAACCAAATCTCAACATGGAATTCAATTAAGCTTTAGTGATGATAAAGTGGAGGAAGGCAGACTCACTAAACCTTTTCTGCTGCTTTTATTTTTTTCATATTGATAGCTGCTCTGTCTTGACTAGTTTTGGGAAGTAATGTAGTAAAAGTTCATGAGGGGAACACCTGAACCAGAAGGAGTTAGATTCCATTGATTGGTCTATGAATATTGTTGGATTACAACTCTTATCAATCATGTTGAGCATCACTGTAGGCCAAAACTAATATAATTTGTAGTTCAGTATCCAGAAGCCATGTTTTCCACTCCCCAATTACACTCTGAAATATTACTTGTACTTAAAATTGCTACATATTACAACAATATAAAATGATATAATCATATACTTGTGTATTCTTTTCCTATTTAAAATACTTCTGTCTTAAAGTATGGAATCACTATTGCTTTGATGCTCACTAATTGTTCCCTACTTAATGTTCTTCAATGTATCATACATGACATATGCCTGAAAAACTCTTATTTATTTTGGCATTCTTAGATACTATTACTGGAGAGATTGTTACTGAAAACTTTTTTTAAAAAACCAACCACCATTTTCTAGTGAAATTACAAGATTATGTAGCTGAGATATAGATAGTCAAAGGAGGCAGAGGTAGAAATAAAAATATGAAGATATATGAATACTATCATAATCCTTAAGGACTCAGCTAATGACTCCTGTCCATGTCTCTTTCTTCTAAAGAAATGCCACTGAAATAAAGAAGGAGCAGAGTCAGGTTCACATGTCTGTTTAGTATTCGGAACTGAATTCAAAAAGGACATCTCTGAAAGGGTGAAATCTAAATTTGGTTTATCCTAGTGTTCTAATTCCCTTCCTGCTCAACTGAGTCTTTGATTACTTACTTAAAGGGTTTCTCCCCTGTATGTGTCCGGATATGATTGTTGAGTGTAGTAGCACCAGCAAAGGCACGACCGCAATAGCCACACTTGAAAGGTCTGTCACTGGAGTGAGTGACTACGTGGTTCCGGAGCTCTGAAGGTTGGGAGAAGGATTGGGAGCAGTGTCCACACTGATAGGGCCTGCAGAAAATAAGAAACACCCAATGTGATCACTACTTGTTTTGTTTTTAAACTGCAGCACATGGAAAATCATTTGGGTGGTGCCGCCAAGCTTTGATTGCTTACTTTAAAAGGGAATTTAATAGTGAACTTTCTTAAAATTTGAAATGTTCTTCTCATCTTTCCTATTGATGGTTTCCACATCTGATAAATATCATATCCTATAACCCAGGGTTCCTCAACCTTGGCAATTTTAAGACTTGTGGACTTCAACTCCCAAAATTCCTTAGCCAGCTTTGCTTTGCTGACTGAGGAATTCTGGGAATTGAAGTCCACAAGTCTTAAAGTTGCCAAGGTTGAGGACCCCCGGTATAACTCCTAGCAAGAATTGTCTGTAGCTACTGGTATGCTTGCTAGATATTGTGAAAGTCGAATACATTTGGGGGACATCAAGTTGTCTCTATAGTCTTTTTTTAAAAAATAATAGGGAACCTCAGTTTCATAGAAGGTCTCTCCTTATATTTTCTCTTTTTTCCTCACAATAAAACATTGAGTATATTACCAGCTACAAACAATAGTATCTTTGATTCTTCTGAGAATGTGCAATATAGTTGTTATATATACTCAAAGAATCCAACAAGATTGCTCCAATCATTTTTCTGTTTGAAATCTCTAAGGCAGGTCATGCTTAATAAATCAGGGACTTGGAGGATGGTGTGAGCCTGGAATTCAATCTTTCATTTGAAAGCTTGTACTGCTGAATATAATAACCCTTCTACACTAAGTATTATCAGTGCCTATGGAATCTAAATACAGGCTTTATTTATTAATTCTAGAAGATTCTTAGAAAAGCTTGAAGTTATTTAATATAGTGAAAGCTAGACTAGGCATTCTTTGATTTTATTGTGCTACATGTAGTCTTGATTAGCTCCGATTTGTGTTCCTTATTCACTAGTGCCACCATCACACAAAGAACCCACGTACATGGCTTGGATGTGTCATCAATAATATCAATGAATGTATACAAGTAGCCCCTTCCCCCTGCAGTCCTGTACTCAGTAGGTAAAAATGCCATTAAAACAAGGACAAAAAAGTCTGTTGCTTCTAACATTATACATTAAAAATGTATTGGTGGGGTAGAGATCTTTTTAGATAGAGAAACATCTCAATAATATAAAGGTTGAAGCATATCTAGCTAGTTTTGCATATGATTATGCCAATCAAAGGGGGGGGCGGAGATATATAAAAGCATGTTTACTTAAAATCCTATTAATATCCACAAAAGCAATGCAATGAAAATATAAATATTTTTACTTAAGTTCTCTGCAGACTGTAGTCCTAAAAGCAGAAATTCAGTTCAAGGTAATAATTAATATTTATGAAGACCTCCATGAATTGAAACTAACATTTCTTATATTTTCCTGTCATCTCTAATCATGTGACTATCAAAAAAGATTTGCTTGGCAGCAAGAGAAAAACATGACACCTTGGTTCCAGAAGTTCAATGGGCCCATTCTTTCAGAGTTTGCTATTAGTATGGAATCAATTAGTGGTGCTAAGATTTTTTTTCCAATCTACACTCTCTTAAAATGTTTCTTTGTTTTAAAAGAACTTCAGGTTATTTTAATTAGGAAGAAAAATTTATCATGAAAATAGTTCCTATTATGACAAATACCCATACCAAATTTTAGACACTTCGACTGAATCTATTTTGTGCAAATGGAAAAAGTGTGTTAATGAGAAACAATGATACTCTTTCCAGAATGGGATTGCAACTGAAGCCCTGGTTGAAGGAAGAGAATAGTCTAAAATGTACTGGTATTTTCCTCAAAAGAAAATAGGCATCAAGCCAATCATCCAGTTAAAACAGTTCACTTTGTTGTACAATTGTCATAGATGAAAGGCTAACAATTAGTAGAATGAATCCCAAAGATGCTTTTTCATGACTTTCAGCAATGAAGCTTCTAGGATGAGAAGCGAAACGTCTTCAAAGAAAAACAAGGAAGTCCAGTTGCCTCATGAAAAAGCATCTTGGATAACTATGACATGGATGTCTGAGAATCTCCATAGACATTTAGTACAATGAATAATAATAACTAAAGCTCTCTGTTCCCAAATCTTTTACCTGATTCCCAAAATGCTCAGATTAAGAAAATAAAGAGTGATCTGATCATAAGAGTCACTCTTACTTGGAATACACCACTGAATCTAATCTTCTTTCTTCTCCTTCCCACCATAGTATTTTACCCAATGCAATTATGGGTTCCATATTGATGTAGCTCTATCAGGATAAGTCAAGCTTCAAGGTTAAAAAAATAAGTTATACTGATCTACTGCCCCAAATTATCCTATATATCTATGAATTCAGGCTTTATCTAAGTGTGATGTGCAGCTCTGGTTAGCAACTGTAAAGAACTTAAAGTAAGGTATTTAAAGAAAATTAAATACTTTGGACACGACTGAGTTGCCATAATATACGATACATAAACTTCTGTTGTGCCCTTCCTGGAGCACATCCAGGATGTTTTAATTCAGAGTTATACTTTATCCTGGTGCTTAAGTATAGAAAAGAATTTGTTCTGCAACAACATTCAGGTAGCTCTTGATATCTAAAAAGGCTCCTCACTATTGTCTGCTGCCATCCCCAGATTTCCACCATTATGTCCATCTTAAATGCTAGAGTTCCTTGAACACCCCAGTACTTACTTCTTACTTATCTTAAATATAAGAGCATGTACCAAAGAGGCAACTGGACTTTCTTGTTTTTCTTTGAAGACATTTGCCTTCTCATCCAAGAAGCTTCTTCAGCTCTGACTGGATGGTGGGGAATGGAAGGATTTATATTCCTTGAAGATTGCTGGTCATTTACATTATTTTAGAAAGTCATTGAAGCCACTGTTTATTTGTGTCCTCAGGGTCACCAAGAAGGGTGTGGAGCCTTTTTGGAACTACTAAAAGGACTGGGTTGTAGACTGGAGATAGATGATGTCTCTAAAATAATGCTGTTGAAAGAGGCTATTCAATTTTGACATAGATGGCCTCTTTGACCCTTCTTTCAAACCAGCAGTCTTCTCTGTCCAAAATGTGGACTTTGCTGTCTTCAAAAGAGTGATCTTTGTCTTTTAAATGCAGATGGACTGCTAAATCTCAACAGAGGGCGAGCTATACAACATCATCTATCTCCAGTGTACAACACAGTCCTTTCAGCAGTTCCAAGAAGGCTCCACACTCATTCGCACTACTCAAGTGACCTGAGGACACAGATACTGTAAACCTTCAAGTGGCTTCAGCCACTCTCTAAAAGAATGCAAATGACCAGTTGTCTACAAGGAATATAAATCCTTGCATTCCCCACCATCCAGTCTGAGCTGTAGAAGCTTCTTGCATGAGAAGTGAAAGGTCTTCAAAGAAAAACAAGGAAGTCCAGTTGCCTCCTGAAAAAGCACCTTTGGGACAACTATGACTTGGATGATTGAGAATCTCCATAAACATCAGAGTATGTAACTGAAATACGTACATATTCTATTTTTTGCACTGCCTTCCTCATGTCATGTTTCAGAGTGTGCTGTACATGTATATGGATAGTGCTGTAGAAATCTAGATTATATCAATTTACAAATGTACCCTGGGTTTGCCTGTCAGTCTCAAAATGATGCACACAAAACAGATGATACAAAACATTGGTGCAATAAAAATTAAAGAAGTACAGAGAAGATATATTAAAAACCCAATATCCTTTAGGCCTTTCATGGAACAATATGAATTACAAGAAAGTTCATTAGAGAAGAGGACACATGACAGCACATTTCAAGTATCTGAAGGACTATCATATAAAACCCTAGACCTGAAGTCAGATACAAATAGTTTTAAGTTATAGGTTGGTTTTCCACTGAACATTACAAATCTTTTTCCAGTGGTAAGAATTACAGTATATAGTAAAAGAATTAAATGTTTAGAAAAAGATAAGCTCTTCCTTGCTGCAGGTGTTCAGTTGGGCCTGATCTAGCAGATTTCATTATGACATGTGGGGTTGATTTAGAAGACCAATTAAAGGGGGTGTATAACACTTCTTCAATGGAAATAATGTTTTGCCTCAAAGAAGGCTCAGATAGCTATATTGCTGTTTCAAAGCTAGAATAAATATTACTTTATAACTGCAGAAAAACCTGGATTGTGTCTTCCTGTATATATCTTGGAAGTCATATTTCATAGTTACATTTTTTAAATTTTACTTTCCAAAATTAGAAAAAAGAATTCATTTGTTTTGCCTTTAGCTAGACAACTACAAATTGTAGTTTCCTTTTGTTGAAAATGTTTTATGTTGCCAATGGAAACTTCAAAGCTTTAAGCATATTTATTCAACTGGCTGTTTTATTTATTTATATTTAGCTCTACCAACCTCTTTTTTAAAAAATAATAATAAGGATATATATCTTTAGGTGCCCCAATAATTTTAGTCCTGAGGAACAAGCAGCTTAAGCTACAATTCGTAAAACCTGTTCTTTTAATGTTAATGTACACTGATGTCTTAACAGCATTTTGTTCTGAACAAATATATAGTGCTGAAGAGCTAAAACAAAAGAGCAAAGGAGAGAGACAACGGTGACCAGGCATACAGAACAATTCAATTAAGTGTACAATAAATGTTATCCCTCATTCTTCAGCTGGACTGCTTAATTGTGACTACTTGCATCACTGATCACCAATACTATTATTTTACAGTGCTTCAGAGCACTGATCACAGAATTTTTCTGCTTGATTAATAACCTAGCTTTGGTCAATAGTTCAATACTGTATTATNTTTTCAAATATTTTCTTTTAATTTGGTTTTAATGGATATTTATTGTACTGTGGTTTTATAAGGCTGTTAGCCGCCCTGAGTCCGGTGAGGAGAAGGGCGGGGTACAAATTAAATTATTATTATTATTATTATTATTATTATTATTATTATTATTATTATTATTATTATTATTATTATTATTATTATTATTATTATTAAGCTTCTTCAGCTCTGACTGGAT